AGTCAGTGTGTCGCTCCTTGATAAATAGCGATGAAATGATTGTAGATAAAAATCGACTGCTGGATCACTCATCGGATCAGTGGCTCATCATTTTAGTCTCGAACGTTGCACGATCGTCTTGAGCAAGTCTCCTTCTTGTACTCTGTGCATTTCTTTTTAGCCTTCGGTGCATGTCTGTGTACGCGACTGCTTGGTTGAAAACTTTTATCTCTTCTTGTGAAAATTTTCTCTCGAATATCCCCTTGCTGATCAACATTTTCGCATTATGTTATGATGATGCAATGTAAAGAAGAATGAAAAAAACAAAAACAACAGAAAATAAATAAGTTAGTGCACACAAAGAAAATAGAAGAAATTAGTTAGTACAGGTAAGACAATCGATATAGATAAAAGTGTTATTAAAAGATGAATATAACACCTACCCATCATGATATCTACCAGAACATGCTTTAAATAGATAATAGTCCTACCCGTACATGTTATCTACCCAAAATGAATAATTTCAAAAAATGGTCCTAACCACATGGTATCTAGTTCGCATGCTTTTATTCAAAAAGAAAACAAATTCTACGAAATTAAAACAAAAGATAAGGGTTTAGAAATATTCCTCCTTTGTGTACACCTAGTTTGGGTACCTACTGACGGACAAAGGTTCGGTATGACTATACCTAGGGTGATAGTTCGACGGTTCACTATATGCTTGGTTTCGGCTCTAACGGAAAAGAGAACTCGAATTGTCCTTGATGTCGGTGCCCCCTTGGGCTGCCAAACCCTCGATCCTCACCCATTACAGGTTTCAAACGGGACGAGTTCAATTCGAGGGGATTCATTGTCTTATACCCGTACGAGGAATAAATCCCTACGAAAGTATAAGGTATGTATCCCATGGGTTATTTGCTAAAACTCATACGAAGAATAAATTCTTACGAGAGTAAAGCATTCACCCCAACTAATTTGGATCGAAGCTCGTGTCTAGAGCTTATGTTATGCTAATGCGAGTGATGTGTGTGAGGAGGAACATACCTACCTTCGACCCAAAAGGAAAACAAAACAAGGAAAAATGATAAAATCCTGACAAAGCTGAAAGCCAAAAATAAAATGTTAGTACGACAAAAAACGAAGCAATTAAAAATTTCAATAAACGGATCATAAATTAACTAAAAACTAGAAACCATAATTTCCACCAAGATGACAATACGTAAACGACATACAGCCTGACTCTCTAAAAAAAGGTCCCCAGCGGAGTCGCCAAGCTGTCATAACCATTTTTTTTGTAAAACAATTAAATATTATTTTTAAAACGATTACGACTTTAATTTAGAAAATTGGTGATTATGAATTAATTAAAATTAAATTGAAAATGAGTCGCCATCGACCTTTGGGTTAGGTAGGTCGAATACCTAAAAACGTCTTTTAAAAACAATTTTAAGAAAAATAGTTTTATAAGACAAAAATTTGAACTACGTTACCAAAGATTCATTTAAAACAGGTTCGGGAGTCGGTTACGTGTGGGGAAGGATAAACACCCCTACATCGCCCAAAATTGGTACTGTGTCGCTTACACATCGTTGTAAATGGTGGAATTTATGATTCGAATATAAAGTTAAAATGTGATCTATTTATTGAAATTTAATTAATTTACTTCGAATAAATTATTTACAGAAAATTCTTTAACTCGAAAAGAAATATCAAAATTAGTAATCCTCCATCGGAAAAACTAACTCGACTATTTCTTGTCAATAAAAAAATATTCTCTTATTGATAAATATGCGAATCGAATATAAATAAAATTAACATTTGCATTCGAATAAAAGGAAATAAAGAGTAAATTAAAAACACACACATAGCATCATTAAAATAAATTAATTAGTAAAAGAAAATGGATTTATTTTAAGTTCGTATTTGTTCGAATGTCGTATTGGATTGTACCGCTTCGATCAAGTAGTACTTTCCACGCCCGTTCTACAAATTCGCGTTCTTGAAAAATTAGTCATATGTAATCACATTGAATAAAATGGAATAAACATTAATAATATATTTTCATACATGAATATACAAAGGGAAAAATTAAATTAAATTAATAAGTATAAAAATGTATATGATGCAACATGCGTATGAAATAAAATAAAATAAATTAATATATTTGAAACATGATATATGTACATAGATATTATAGCATAGGTTAAAATATATACATGAAAATATGACATACAAATAACATAAAATAAATAAACTTTATAGACAAGTAACTAAAACGCATAAATCGAAATATACAAGCAGAATTAAAAAAAATAAAAAACGTGATCAATCAGTGGCTAAAATGAAAAAGAATAAAATCAGTAGTTAAATTCATAATAAGCAACATAGTATACATAGTGACCAAATTGAAACACAATAAAACAGAATGTCAATATCAGAATAAACAAATAACATGAACCTCCTGGTGACTATAATGAACAACATGGTAAAGATAGGTATCTAAATCGTGATTAACCATAAATCTAGTGACCAAAATGAAAGTACCATAAATTAGTGGTCAAATTAGAATAAAAATAAAAATAAAATCAATATGCCAACAACTAGGGACTAAAAAGAAAGTTAACAAAACTTCCTTACGAAATCAAAAATCATCAAAGACATCAATAACCAAATAGGGACTAGGATGAGCTCATTCACAAATCGGGGCTCAAAACAAATTATTTACCCTACACACATTAGTGAACAAATAGTGATTAAAACGAAATGTGAGCAAATATTATATCAAAAATGAAACAAATAGAAACATAATATGATGACCAAAATGAATAATACACAAGATTAACAGCTAAAATCTAAATATTTAAACATACAAAATACTAATATAAATAGGACTAAAATATAAAAAGGAAAATATAAATGCCCAAAATAAAATATTATGAGATTTCATTAATGGCTACAACGAGATGTTACAAACCAGGAGGGACCTAAACTAAGATTTACCCCCCCAAACCTTGAAGAAACACGCGTAAGTTTACAAAGTCACAGGGATTAAAAGTGTAGTTATACCCTTTTGCGGACGCTCAGACTCCCTTGGTCAAACGACGCCGTTCTGCTTGAAGGCTATAAGACCCAATAAGGGTTCTGAAACCCTATTTCCCATTCACTTTCCTCTCTCAGCCGCTCTCATCTCTCCCTTTATACTCTCCCCTTTCCCTCTTGCTTCCTCACCACGAGGAGAACAGAGCACCAAGGGCTCCCTGGCCACCGTAGATCGGTGGCCACAGGGACTAAATAAACCCCCAAAGACCTCCGGTTCCTCACCCTCTGTTACCCATGGTTCAACCGAGCCTCATAAGGCTCGAAGAACACCGCAACATCCTCTCAATCTAAACTCAACAGTTAGGGACTCCAATGAAGACCCTAGAAAGGTAAAAATCTCCTCCCTTCATCTATTTTTTTTTTGTCTCGAATATATGTTTTTTTCTTCTTTTTTTTTTCTCTGGCCTCCCGAATCCTCTCTTGTTCTTCTCTCTGTTTTTTTACCAACCGAATGACCCCCCCTTTTTTCTGATATCTGCTTGATTTATGGTCGATTTTGCTTCGTTTGGTGAGATGATGATGTCTAGAATAGCCCATGTCCTTCTCTGATTTTGTAAGATATAAATCCCGAATATTTAGGGATTTATTGGTATTTTAATTTGGGGTTTGGTTTTTGGTTGATTTAGTCACTGATGGGGTTGCTGTTTGATTGATTTTTCACTGTAGATGACGATGGTGGCGCGGGAACGGCGGCTGGACCATCGGAGTGGGCCGGAAAAGTGACGGCGGCGCGGCTGGAAGTCCAACAGAAGCGGCGGCGGCGGCTGAATGATGATAGGTTTAGGGTTTAAAACCCTAATTACTTGGGCTCGTGTTTGGGCCTTGGTTGGGCCTTGTTGTATTGGGCTTTGGCCTGCAAAAAAAAAATATGTAATAATAAATAATAATAAAATAATAAGATGACGATAATAATAATAATAATAATAAAATAACGATAAAAAAACCCGGACAAAAACGGGTGTCTACAAAAAGGCTATGGTGTTTGCATATATTCAAACATAGGGGGTGAGAATATGACCTTCCAGGGATTCTTCAAATACATGGGAAAACCATGAAAAAAAAAATTAAACATGACTGTGCTAGACACTTCCATTTACAAAGCTATAGCCATATCTGAGTAGCAATTACGGATAACAAGCTATGTTGCTTTGACTCCTCATTTTGCTTGAAATACTTGTTTCGGACACATATTCCCACACAGGTGAGAGAATATGATCTTTTAAGGATCCTCCAAATACATAAAAAAACTACGGAAAAAATTAAACATACCCATGTTGGATGCATATATTTCCGAGACTTACACCAGAGTTTAGGTAACATACAAAACAAGTTTTTACTAGGAAATGGGAAAATCCACATTCCTAAAACAGTAAAACCAAGAGTAGATCTCCTAAAAAAACCCACTACCTAACAATTTATCAAAGAACAACAACAAAACACCTCAAACAACTATGATGAATGTATCACCAATTCTTTATTTTCCTTTAAGTACTCGCCTGCAGTCGTATCAAGACACATGGATAGAGGGATATGACCTTTAAGAATCCTCCAATACATGGAAAAACTTTGAAAAATCTGTCAATACTAGTACCGAACTTATAATCATATCGAACACCCAAACTAGAATGGCATAGACCACAGATGTACCAAATTAAAATTGTCCGAGTCCTGCACTCGTATCAGACACATACATATGAGTATATGTCGCCTAGGATCCTCTAAATAAATAATAAACCTTAGAGAATCTGGCCATACAACGACAGTGGTACCTAGTTCGAGTGCAAATTGTATCAGATCAAACTTGCAACATATTCTAACGATTGAAAAAATAAAAACAGAATTCAACATGGTCCAGATGATAAAATACCAACAGTTTGAAACAATTAAAAAAATGAAATTTAGGCTAAGAAATGAAAAAAAACCTGAATTAACTCTATTAACATGTTGAAACTGTCCAAGTGAGCCATCTTTAGAAGAATCTTTCTTTTGCAGCTCTTTCACAGTGATTCCACCATTGTTGGCAGCCTTGTTTGATGATCCAAAACAAGGAAAACACCCACCCATGAATGAAAACCCTAATTTTTACACAATTATTCAAGGATTACTCCAAACCATCTTCCCTTTCACACTTTACACCAAAAAAGGAACTCAAAATTTCCCTTAAAAAGTCCTATATTTTAGCAGCACTTTTATCGCCTTAAAATCTTCTTTCCTTTAGCTTCTCTCGATTATCTAAAATTCTCATTTACGACAAAGATTTGAACCCAAAGTGGCAGACCAACAAATAGAAGAAAAAAAGATTATGTTGTGCAAGACGAAGAGAAAACAAAGTAAGAAGAAAAGAAAAAAATTTATAATTTAATGAATAAAAGAAAGCAGAGGCCAAAAATTAATTTACTTTAGTGGTAGGTAAATTTATTTTTCCAATAATTACTCCATTTAAGATTAGTTATGTAAGTTCCTTAATTTTCCAAAAATTTTTTGAGTTTAAGAAAAAAAATGTTTACTCATTTTTTTCGTTTCATTGACAGTAATTTATAATAAATACTTACAAAAATTTAATATTTGTATAGCAGACAATAAACCGAGTCAAATATTATTAATTAATAAAAATATTATTATCATTTGTAAATATAACGTATACTTATAAATTAACTTTACACATATGTACGTTCCATTTTTTAGAAAAAAATAACTTTTTAGATACTTAAAATAGAGTTATACAAATATTTTAATTACGATGAAATAATAGAGACGATGTATTAAGTTTTAGGGTAAAATATACAAATGGTACATCGATTATAGAGTATTATTTTATTAAGTCTTTCGACTATTAAGGTTACAAAATAATCATTTGATTATAGAATATTTATGATATTTTACTCTAAATTTTATGTTTTTCAAGTTTTTTTATTAAGCTAAGGTGATTATAAAATAATATTTGTTCTAAATACTTTTAATCATTTGTTCAATCATCCTACTGTAGTCGCTTGCTCGAACTTGTGATATTTAAGAACAACAACAATTCTAATGGTAAGTTAGTTCGTGCAGTTGTTATTTTTTGTGTCAGATATTATATCTGATAAAATTATCTTGATTAAATAAAAAAATTATGTTAAACAAGAAAATCATGAACATAATTTTAAAAAGAATAAAACAATTCTTTTTTACATAATAAACTTAAAAAAATATAAACAAATTTAATTTTGAGGTCGTAACGAATTTGAGAACAATAAAAAATTTAATTCATTACATAAGTTAAAAACATCAAAACAAAAAAGATAAAATTACTTTTTAACAATATTCTATTGATAAAAGCATACATAAAATAGTATACCTCCACATAGATATAATTAGATTAATGTGTTATTGCTAGTCAAAGATAAAAATATCTTTGATGATCGAGACCATATTATACATTACATTACTGATTTATTGATGTAAAGATTAAATTATTTCATGCATCTAAGTATGAGTTGTTAGAATCAAGTCATAATAAATATGAAATCAAATTAGGATCTAATTATTTTAAATCATCAAGAATAAAATATTAAATTTACGAAAACGAGTTCCTGAATTAATTGATGGGTTGAAATCTTTAAATCTTTCTTTGGTTGTGATCTTTCAAGATAGAGTTCCCTTAAGTAGAAATTCTTTGACGGGATAAGAGTAAATACGAGATTATCGTTTTTTAGGACCATAACCCCTTTATATAACTTATTTAAGAATCTGTTATTGTTTGTACTTATAAATATGCTCTCATCAAGTTATAAATACAACTTTAATAATATCTACACTTTTATTTCCATGACACTTATAATACCTTACGCCTTTATAACATAATTGGTCCTTTAATTTATGTCACATTTTTGTTTGAACTAAACCATAATAAATACGAAAAATAAACAGGATCTAATCATGTCAAATCATCAAGAATAAAATACTACAGTTGTGGATCAAGAATTGATAGGTTGAAATCTCGGAGTCTTTCTTTGGTTGTGATCTTCCAAAAAGATAGGTTTGCTTTTGCCGTAAAAACTCTATGACGAGAATAAGAGTAATACAAGTTAACCTATTTCTTGGGGACCACTACCTCTTTATATAGATTGAATATTAGATTAATCTTTTAAGTATTTATAATTATGTCCCTCATAAATTATAAATATAATTTATGATATCTACACTTTGATTATATGACACTTTAATACATATAACACATTTAACATAATTGGTCACTTAATTTTGTATCGTACTTTATAATAACATTGTACATTACACATATGTGCCCACAAATATGGATTTTAATCCAACAATCTCCCACTAGGGCAACATATGTTTCCTAACAAATGTACAACCCTAAGAGCTCAAAATTTACTATCATATAATTAGTATTCTATATCAATCTCGTCTATCAACTATATCCATATATGATCAAAGCGGTCTTCGTCGTATCAATCATGACTAAACCCATCAATGATCACGTATACAAACACAATCAAATGATATGGATCAATCACGGAGTGTAGCATGAAAATTACATGCAATGTGATCCACACATATCTATTTCCAACTAGTCCTCTTTAAACATTAGTGAGGTCAAATTTTACCAAAATCAGAGTGTGGATAAACCAAAATAAACTTTATTTCTGCAGAAAATAACTTTAACATAAATATCCTCAAATTGAAGTAACTAGAATTGTGTCTATAAAAAATGAACATTTAAATTACAAACTCCCACTAAAACTGAATATCCTTAAATGATCTCACACTCACATGAGTAGTGTGCTCAAGAAATACCTTGTGTGATAGTTCCTTAGTAAGCGCACAATAATGAGTTTGTAACAATATGCTCTATAAACCATGATCACTCTGATTTTTCTTTAACAACCAGAAACATAATGTCTATGTGATTAGTCTTTAAGATGTTTATGTTATATACGGAATAAAAGACTGTAACTTTATTGTCACAAAATAACTCAAGTGGTCTTTCTTATCGATCCATAATTACCAGTTCATGTGACAAAATTTGCGTTCATATTCCAATAAGTCAGAGTCCATAAACCTGACGATTTCTTCCTTACTAGACCTCTAATATGTGAGCATGTGATATTTTTGTTCTTAAATGTATTGTATGAATAAATTTGGTTGTTATCCAATGATTCATACCCAAATTGCTTAAATATCTGCTTAATATCCTAAAATCATACGATATGTCTGAATGCATATGAACAAGAATATACATTAAATTCTTTATTTTTATTTTGAAACATAAGGAGCATTTTACATTTCCTTAGTTTCAAAATCATCCTTAAGACACTGATAAAGTCTAAAGTTGTTTCCTTTAGCAATAAGGAGTATTATTTGGTTTACGCCCACTGAACTTATAATATATACAGTTATCAACCAAATTCATCTCAAAATCAAACGAGATAATCAGTTGATGAAATTTGTTATACAATTAACTGGAGTAATATTTGAACTTTTAAATGGATTTCCTTAATTTGCATATCATTAGTTTTGTATCATTTGACATAATTTTCTAGTTGCACCATATAAAATATTTCATCAATATTATCATTGAGAATTTTTTTTTTTGAAATCCAACTTATGTAACTTAGAATCAAATATGAGCAACAAGTATCATAATTATCTTAAAAGAGTCTTTCAATGAAACCAAAGAGAAAGTCTCTACGAAATTATTGTCTTCTTTCTGAGTATATATTTTAGATACAAGACGCACCTTATATTTATCAACATCATCATTTGCATCCATCTTGGTTTTAAATATCCATTTTCAACCAATAAGCTTTACACCTTCAGATAATGAGATAAGTTCTCAAACTTTATTATCTTATATAGAACTTAAACTCTTCTTAAATGACATTAATCCACTTTTAAGAGTCAGAACTTTTATGACACGACGAAAGTTGATTAGATCATCTTTCATCATTCTACCATTTTCCTTATTTCTTGTAGAAACATAAAAATCTAAAATATATTTCTCTCATTTTATAGATCTTCCTACTAATACTTGTTCTTTGAGATTGTTGAGTTTGTTCTTCCGTAACAATTTCTCATCTTAAGTGGAAAGTTGTTCAATATTAACTTACTGAGATTCTAGACTCACTTCTTGATTAACGACATGTATGAACACATAAATATCATCAAAAGTGATAATAGAAATTGAGTTATAATTCAATTCATTCTCAAAATTAATTCCTTAAACCTTATTTCTCCCTCCAAACTCAACATCCTAAAAGATAGTGTTATAGATCTCACATTAAAATATTTGTAATTAACAACTAAAAAGAGACAATAATATGTTATAAAGTGTTGTTCTCTTTTGTAATAAGTTAAGACATATGAAGATAAATTAAAATTTTAAAGTAGTAAGCAACTAATTTGGTCATTCTATGTGATCCAGGGGTTATAAGTTTATCTCATAAAACTTATAACCCCTGGATCACATAGAATGACCAAAGTAATTGCTTACTATTTTAGAATTTTAATTTATCTTCATATGTCCTAACTTATTACAAAATATAACAACACTTTATAACATATTATTGTCTCTTTTGAGTTGGACCCTTAACAACTACATTTTGATTTTATTTTTGCCCTTATATTTATATGCACTTTTCAAATGAGTACTTTAAAACTTATTATGCTTCAACCTTTCTTCCTCTTGCGCACAATGAAAAATGAGCTCACTTAGAGTTTATTCTTCCCTTTGAGTTGATTAAACTTTATAGGAAGGAATTCTAAATTCACAAGAACAAGTAATTCTTTCAAAAAACTCGATCTTAAGTGCCTTAAGTTTTGAAGCAATATGAAACATATCCATAATTTACTCCCTCACATTTCCTTGACCCTTATACTTTTTATACATCAAATAAGTAAAAAAATGATGTCATTTAAACCTTATTGTTTTCGAGAAAACATTTCTCAATTTCGTCAAGGAAACCATTAGCCTTAGTAATCTTTTCAGCTCGTGTTTCATTACCACTAAACTTATGCAATTTAAACACATTTCAAAGGTACTACTTCTGTACATCTTATAATTACTTATTAATTAGAAATCATATTCGCGAGGAGTCACCATCTGATTTAGGAATGAGGATGAGAGCAGGGAATTCCATTCTACATTCGAGCAATGGCAGACTGAACACATTATCAAAGGTACTACTTCTGTACATCTTATGATGATGCTTAAAAAATGACTGTTATGTAGCTTTTTCTAATCTTTTTATTTTATTGACTCGCCTAGGAGAATGTCTGTCGAATGAAGTCATTTCTGATTCTAAGAGC